GGATAGTTTTTATTTATTTTGTAGGTAATTTTTTTTATTGTAAATAGTTATTTTAAATTAACAAAATGGCTAAATTTTAAAAAAAAATTACAACTAAACAATAAAATTAGCAAAATAATTATTTTAATTTAAAAAAATACATTTACTTATTAAAGGTAAAAAAATGTGTAATGATGATATAAATTAATGTTATAGGTTATTTGAAGTTACTAATTATTAATTACATTAATATTTAAGAATATAAAAAATTAATTTATCATTAAACAAACGTTACAAAAATTACAAAATATCCATAATTTAAATACCATAAATATAAACATAAATTTTTCATAAAGAAAAATCAGAATCTATTTAAGATTTAACTGATTAATTTGAAATATTTAAATACTGTAACTATTTAAGATAAATTTAAATACCAAATTTAAATTCTAAATTAATTATAATACTGTAATTGAAAAAGAGATTAGATCTAACGTGGATCAGGTTGCAACAATTTTTTATAATACATAATAAATATTGAAATATTTTCTCTTTATTTCTTCCTCTAAATCAAATATAATATCTACATTTACTAACAATTTATTGTTTGATTCAGTTACGTAATTTTCTTTTGTATTTTTATTTGATTTGATTTTAATCGAAGGAGCCCTAGACAAATAGTTTTATTAATAAAATTATTTGTAAGTTCTTTCAATTAAAAAATTCCATAATATTTTTTTAAAGAAAGTTTAATTAATTTATACATGAAAATATATTTGGCTTGAATAAAACAACAAAAGTCAAATTAATTTTTCTAACTATATTGAAAAAATAAATTAACGAACAAGTTAATTCCTTAGAAATTTAAGTCATTTACAACAATTAAATTATATATTAATGTTAAAAAAAAATAATCAAGGAAACTTTACTTAAAATAATTATATTAACTCTTTGAAGAAATAAATAAAATTAAACTTTATTTAGAAATTAAAACATGAAAGAAATGGCCAATAGGGTTTCAGTTCAACTTATTTATTTTCTTCCTCCTTTCTCTCTTAGTACAGGAATTTTCTGAAGGATCATCGTTCATCTTAGGTAAACTCCAAAAACTGTAAAATTATTGAAGATCAAATTGCACTGTGAATCTTAATTCGAATTGGTTACGTTGTTTATTTTGTGTAGAGTTTTTTCTGCTAGGGCTCTTATGCTTCAGCTTGGTGTTCAATTGTCAGTTAATTACTATTTTATTTTATGGTTACTTTAATCCGATGGAGAACATGGAGTCTGAATTCGATTATGCTTTGCTTCCAACCGAGAATTGATGAAATGAATCAACGATAGTAATTTTTTATTTTTTTTAATTTAATGAATAGGTTTTGGGCGTGTTTGTCTTGGTGTGTTGCATTTGTGTGAATAAGAGTTGAAAACTGAAATTTGTGAGAGCAAAGTGAAGGTGGATGTTATCCGTTTCTTTGATTATTTTCTTTTGTTTTTTAAGGTGTGTGTATTAGTCAAACCCATGTTTTATAATATAAAAGGAGGAGTTGTAACGATAGTTGTTCCTCAGTGATGCATTGTCTGTGCCAAATAGTGTTTCGTTTTCTTGTTTGGATTTGGTTATGCTTTTTATCTTAGAGAGAACTGGCGTTTTTCACGAATACTAAATAATTTAAACAATTATTTTGTTCTGTTTTCTTGAATATGCTAATTGTTTTGTTGTCTGAGTCTCAAACTGCATTCTTTGAAAATAACTTATTTTCCCAGGTGATGATTTCTTGTAGTGCTTCAACTGACATGTTTTTCAGTTCCCAATGATTGAATTGCCCTGCATTTTTCAATAGTGAAAGGATTTATCTGACAGCGAGCCTTCTACTTAATTTCTTTGCATGTGGATTAGTAGCCTAGAAGGCATGTTGATTGTCCCATAGAAGATGGAACTCAATGGTAGCAGTTCAAGTGCCCACCAGAAATGTTCTTCGGAGGGATCACGAGATGCCAGCAAAAAGTACACTGAGAAAGAAGTATTTGTTAACCATGGTATGCTCTTTTCTTACATTTTTTGTTATAATTTAGAAGACAAAAGCAGAGTTTACATGTGTTAGCATGCAAAATATGTCATGTGGTTTCAGCTATTTGTGTGCTTTTAAGTGTATATATTATACTGGTTTTATTACTAATATTCATAATTAATGTTGAAACATTTCTTTCTGGACTTTGTATTATTTTTTAACTTTAAATTAAAATATGTAGCAT